GTGCCATTTTGGAGACTCGTCTTTCACTGAACGTGTGCACTAGCATTACCGTGTGCTTCCAGCGCATGACTAAGATGTACCTCATTGCTTAGGGCAATTCTTATCGTTATGTAACAAGCTTGATGCACAGGGTTTTGCTCTCTGTCAATGCGTCATGACACTTCTTCGCATGTCTTTGAGAAAAATTTAGGGAGAATGGCTCGACAGGACGATTTTTTAGATTCTGAATTTTTCTCGCATTATGGACTCATCTGCCACGCTAATTGAATCTGCGTTTACTATGTGTGACTCAGGGAAAACTAAGATTCTTGATAAATCCTTCTACGGCGACTGCCAAAGAACAGCAAATTGAGAGGGTAGATAAAACAGATTACATTCAATGTCACGTTTCTTCAGTATGATTAAATTTAATCAAAAGTCAGATGCACAATGTCATTGCTTTAATTATATTTCGCGATATTCCGTTTCAAAAGGTCGGATCCCAGCTAATGGAAATCCGTTAGGAATGGGAGTTCTGTCATTTAGGACAAATAATAACAGTGCTTTCCAGCCTGCTTTTAACGGTTTATAGTTAAAGCATTCACCTCAGAATATGCTTGTTTGTAAAACACTGTGAGGTCTTTCAGTTTCGACTGTAACTGTCGCATTGGTTTAGTGTATCATATTAATTTGCAGGTACTCATTATTAGCCACGTCATTCGCGATTATTTTGCCATTGAATGGATACTGTGGCGCAGTATTCATCAGCTGGTAAATTAAAGTTGAAATAAGTCTTCTCTCCGTCTTCAACTAGCCTTGAAACCACTGGTTAAAATCTGTGATCGAGCGCAAGTGCTTTCTCTTTACATATACCGTGCACCGGCTAGGTGCTTACTGTCATGTTGACCATCAAAGGGGATGATAAATGACTCGGTTTTAAGGATTAGGTAATAACCATACGCAATCACAACTATACACTACCGTCTATTTGAAATCAGTATCAGAATAAAAGTGCCCTTGAGCAATTTGGGATGATTGAAAAAGTTCCTGTCCGATAACTGCCTCGGTACTCGTTACAGAAATTTTTAGATCAGAGTATGCCTCCAGCATTAACTATCTGTGCAACATCGTCCCTAAGCCTAGAGGCAGTTCATAAGTAACTGAGCACGCAACACAACATAGAAAGACCTATCTTGAGTAAACGAACAGACGAGAAAGTGCGCAAACAGGAGCTGGCGATTCACTGCCTCGGTGAAGAAGCTAAGGTGGCAATGAACAGGGCCCTTTGCAAGAAGAATAGACCATCCCTTAACCAAAAAGACATTGGACTGGGTTTCAAGGGTAAGTAAACCATCCGTATGAGAAGTTTCAGGTCGGTGGAAGGATGACTGCTAGAAACGGCTGAAAACAGAATTTACAGTTAAACTTAACAGATATTTACAGTTAAACTTAACAGATATTTACAGTTAAATCTTAGGGAAGCCGTGGTCCAGCAATGGGTCGAAATGGCTGATTATGACGGCCAATCATGACAATGTCTGTGGCTGAGAACAACATATATGTATACCGCAATCGGCTCTGAAGCGAAACCTCATTATGTTTAAGGTTCTCTTTCTGTAAGGAGAGAATGCGCAACTTGGAGCAGCAATTTTCACACCTGACTAAGTTAACAGTGTATC